ACCTAGCTTTTTAAATTAATGGGTTAATAACTGCAGCAAGAGCTAACACAGATAAATTTAATTCAGAACAAAATGTCCAGTTAGGCTGAAGTTTTGCTAATACAGTTCTCTTAAGCGCCGCTCAAACTGGCTTTAGGATGTGGATTTTGGAAAACAGATTTCCTTCCCTCCATTAAGGCTAGATCTAGAGCCACAAATCATTTTAATTGCATTAACCTAAGAAAGTGGTTAATAGAATAGCACCTCTTCCCTTAGAGAAACCGTTTGGAAAATCAGTTTCTCAGAGACTCTGCCATACCACACCAAAAATTCAGCAACGCCCCATTTCTGAAACCCCGTAGGAATAGAGGCAGAAATCCAAAATGCTGCTTTTACGTTTGCGTAGAAGCGTATGAGGGTCAGGGGCTTGCTTTCACATAGAGAAAGAGACATTTAGTTTCTTTAACAGTCTGCTACAGCGTAGATGTCGTCTTTCCTTTTCCGAATGCAACATCCAACCCTAAGCAGCCAGGTGCAGTGGTTCTCAAAAGCATGGAACCTTTCCTCTTGGAAAAGGCACTGACTGGGATACAATAAACCCCATTTGAATGTAAAAACAAGCAGTACTTACAAACTAGAGAGTCTGAGGGACCTTCCCCATCTCCCTCCCTCTGGAAAACCAAATTGGCCAAACAGAACCAACATGATAGTTTAAGAGATTAGCCTTCTTCACAACTGCCAGGTTTGCTCATCTGGTGTTAAGGGACTTTTCCCAAAGCTCGTATCAAAGCTCCTTCTGTTAAGTTCTGCCGCTGACTCTAAGACGGCCAAGATCAGTGCGAGACCAATCAAGTGCTCAGGTGCAGAAGTTTTAACAAATTTTGACTTTTAGAGAAAACCAGAATTAGCACACTTTTGCAACGTCTGAGTTTCCAGTAAAGTTCCAGACAATAATCATGACTATATTTAAGCCCACATTTCAATAAGTAAATCATCTTTCTAAGTTCAAAAGGAAAGTTTTATTGCTTGGGATAATTTCCTGCTTGCTCTTCAGATGAGGGCCTGATTTTGCGGTCCATCAGCAGTGAAGAACACCTGCCCACCCCATCTGTAGAACTCGGGTGGTGCCAGCTCAAGCGATTAAAAACCTTTCCAGCCCCATCCATACTCGATGCAGATGGAACACGGCAAAACGGATGCGTAGGTTTGAAAGACTAAAATATACAGTGTACTTCACGTAGTCACAAACCTCAACTCCAGCTATAAATTTGTATCGTCAAGTATCTGTTTCGATACTTGGCATACACTTTGATCAAGAATGGTTTCGAATGAGCAAGAGAGACAATATTTTTTAAGACGTGACTGGCAGCCTCATTAATGGGGCTGGTTAACGAGCAGTGTTCTCTCATCCCTTGGTGTCCGCAGGAGACTCAGGATGGGAGAAAATTGAAGAATACAGCACAGCTTTGTCCACTGAGCCCAAACACTTGTATCTCAGATGTGCATTTATAACAAATGGTTCTTGCAAAGAAGAGGTAAGAAAAATCAACTACTCAGCTTAGGCAATACCAGAACTTCAAATAAAGAATAGGAAGATCGAGATTTTTCTGACCAATTGGTTTTGTAACTTATTCCACTGGACCACAAAGATTCTGCCCTATTTCCTTTTAATCAGATGAAGTTTAACCACTTTTTCAGCATCGTTTATCATCTTTTCAATATTTGTCTGGAGTTAAAGCCTTTCCAGTAACTTTTCTCTCTCCAAAGTAGTTACTCAAATGCCGTTTGGGGGAAAGAAGGAAGCGCCATCCATTCTTCACACACATATGAAGGTAACCAGTAACCCAACCAAACCTTCCTAACAAATAAGGTCAGCAGGACATTTTGAGAAGATGTATCTTTAAGGTCAGAGTTCTCCAAGAGTTATAAAGCCCCAGCAGAACAGTTTAACTGGCTATTCACAAGCAGTCAGCTTTACTCTTCCAACTACTCTGAATGATGTTATGCTTTAGAGATTGCTATACACAAAAAAAGAGTATCTTGGAAAGAAAACAGGAGCTCAGTGAAGTCTAGAACTCCCTCCACAGCAAAATCCCAAAGTTGCACTGGTGAACTGTTCTTAAAAAGACAGCCCGTACACAAGGAGAACATAGAAGTAAAATGCAGGACAACACTGACCTTAGGCATGAGACAATAGCTCATGATTTCTGAGTGAAATATTTAAGTCGTAGGATGTCTGGGAAGGATCCAAGTTGCCCAGACACAGCAACATTAGGTAGAAACTTGAGTGATTTATAAATTACTCAAGAATCCTTGTATTACAGCTAAGAGGAAGTAAGATGCTGAAGCTAGAAGTTTGTTCTCAAACACGTACCACTGTACGTTGTCACAGCCTAACAACAGTAGATAATGAAGCCCCTGCCAAAACGAAAACCTTTATCTCCTCATAGTAGCTGTATGTGCAAGTCAAAACCAGTCTGTTACGCTCCCACAAGACCGATTCACAGAAGAATCAAGTAAAACCACTGAAGAGTGCAACTGATGCGTCTACGTGCAGGCTCAGAAGCAGCACTTCATTATGCTCGCTCGCACTTTCCCACCACAGGCATCAGGCCCGAGCTATCCTAAAGCAGCACCTAACTGGAACAAACGCAGCTCGCCCCGGCATCCAGAAAGGGCTCTACAACAGAACCAGCCCACAACTGGGTCCGCCTCAATACGATCACTTCTTATAATGGTCTTTGTTCAAAATAGGGTCTTTTTCAAAAGATGTATCTAGGTGGGCTTGTGATCTGGACGTAACTCAGATCTAGAGCTAACTTACAGAGTGAAGATACTTAAAAGCTCCCCTGAACAGGCCAGAAAAACCAGTTAGTGGATCTATGTGCCATACTGGGACTCAAGCCAATTTTTCAGTATACTGTTTATTAGACGCATGTATTGAGATTAAAGGAGTCAGTGCAAATCCCCAGATTAAACACATCTTACGCACTTGTTTTACGGTTGTTATCATTAGAACACATCTCCCTCTATCAGCATACAGTAGAGCAGCGACTCTAAAGACCATTTTCATACACGAAAAGGCTTACAGAGTTGTATCTCAATTAAGAGGCCTCTCAACTACCCAATGTTTTATTAATAAAGTTAAAAAAAAATCCCAAAACCTTAAGTGGAATGTTCCGATTCATTCAGCGGTCTTTAATTCAGTATGCTGCAAGTTTACTGTCAAACTACAATTAGCTATTTAAGAAGCATTTGGTGTGCAATGGAAAAAGCCGAATAGCTTGTGTTCTACCAACCATTTAAAAAGCCGATGCACAAAAAAAAAAATAAAATAATTAAAAAAAAAGAATTCACTGTTTTCCTACATCAGTTCAACATTAAAAGGTTTGTCTTTTTATTTTTCCCAGTTAAAAAACAGTTGGGACTATTATCTCAGTAATAGCTTCCTAAAAAAGACACAGAACAGCAACTTCTCACCGGACTGCAGTTTATATTGTTGTACTGGTACGGAATGTTTCTAAGCCTTGACTAAAACTGCTGCTTCTAGCCATCAGCATCGTTTCAAGATGTCTGGTGTGTAGTATCTTCTTCACAAGCTTATCGCTTCTCTCAGTAAAAACATTTCTCACTTGTGCTCTTCACACAGAACATGGAAAAGTGATATTACCCCCTCTTTGTATGGAGTTTCAGATTATTTCACAATGAAGTCAAAATATCTGACTACAAGTTCTCAAAGTTCAGTTGTGATACAAAGTAGAAATGACCCTCTGAGTGAAAACAACCTTCAGTTTTGTATATAACAGTTAAACAACACGTAGCTGTTCCTTAATTTCACCTTTCCACAGGTAGGTATTATTTGATGAGCGATACTTGACACATACAGCACTTTTCTTGCACGTGCTATAGAATGCAACAGAACTACCAACACCTCTATGGAGGCAGCTATCAATATTCTCCCCACTGCAGAGAGAGTGCATGTGCGCAAAAGGTAGGCACAAGTGATTTTCCAAAGATTATACCACAAGTATGCAGTAAAACTTGAATAAGACTTGGTATTTTCCAGCCCCTAGTCTTATGCCGTTTCTTTTATACATTGCTGCCTTGATGAAAAGGAAAGTCCATAAAAAGAAAAGTTTCCCAGAAGAAGTCACAGCTTTAGAATAAAATTAGAAAAACAGGAGGAGGGTTTGCATCTATTCAGGAAAAAAAGAGAATCTACCGTGGGGAGGGAAAAAAACCCAAAAAACAACCAACCTTATGAAACATCACCCATTACATCAAATCTGTTTCAGTCGTTGAAAACCAGTGTTCCAGGATACAATTTTTATAAACATGTTTTATTTGTCTTGCTTATACCATTAGAACTGTAACTGCTGGCTGTCATTTCCCTTAAAAGGGGAAATCAATTCAAACACATACTGGTGCTTTTCAAAAGATAGCAATTAAAAGGGCAGCAGCAGCGGGCATTTGAGATTTCTTAAAACCTTCAAGGCTGCAGGAAAGACAAAAGGACATGTGACCAAAAGTGTTATGATTATCCATTAGAGATTTCCATCAGTACCGGCATCAGTTATTTAGGTGATAATACAGCAAGGTCAAGTATTAGTGACAGACAATGTGCAAGTCATAAGGAATGATAGAGAATACCAATCCTTACAAAAGTCATTGCTATCAAAGAAACTTAAAAGTGTTTCAAAGAGATATCTAAATACTTCACATCAAATATACAGTGGCCATCCAGATTATATGTCACATTTGTTGCAAAATTTTGTTGAAGTGCCAAATCAAAGCTTTTTTTTTTTTTTCCTTCTTTTAAAAAAAAAAATTACACAATTACATTAGCAGTTATGCAAGCGATCTTAAATCCTTAGCCACAGTAAACAGGGCCCTGGTGATGAGGAGTGCTGTAGCTAAGGGTGCTGCTTCTTTGTCAAAAACTGGCTAGAAGCCTATTTGTCTATTTAGGGAAATATGCATCACTACACATCTTTAACTGTTCGGTGCTTCAATTTAATAAGAAAAAGCTGAAATGCAGTTGCTCTATCAAGCCACACTTCACCTTTTCCATCCTTTCATGGGAACATTAAGTTTTGTCAACTGCCACCCACAGTAAATCTTTATGAATTTGCAGATTTTATCCAAATTTGTTACATCACTTTTAAATGTCAGAAGTGAGTCTTTGCTTTTTCCTGCCACTTCAGTTAACCATGGAGATTGGATCACCCTGAAAATTGCCTTTTTTGCTTTACGCTTAGCAAGGGTGAGGAATCTGAATCTCATGTGCAAGGCTCAAGATGATGCTTAGGACAGAACATGCAGAGTAAACGTTGTTTCGTTCCTTTCCATATCCAGGTAATATAAAGCTGGCAACTGTAGTCCTGTCATTATGGGTAATGAAAATAGTCCCTTTACAACAAACTTCCTGTAAGGGAGAACAAATAGATAATAACTCTTCTGGTAACATGTATAGTACACTGGCCAGTGTGTTTTTGGCGTTTAATGTAATCCCGTGAATTCGTTTAATTCACTTGCTGAGCATTCATTTGAGGCATCCCTCTGTTTGGTCTTGGGGGTCCTCCACGACCTAGAAAACAAATAGAAAGCCACTTGAATTACGCATGAAGTCAGCTTATTTTAAAAAATTCCTAAAAGCCCTGGTCTAAACTGGGTAAGAATTCCCAGGTGTGTATCTAGACTATATATGGTTCTAAAAGCTCCTTCAAATCAAAACTCAACAGCATAACCTGTCTTCACAGTTTTCAGCTTTATCCCAACACTTTTTTTCCCCTAGAACTACAAAAGTTGTAATCACTTCAAGTAAAAATGAAGGGGAAAAAAAACCAAAACAAACAAGTCATGAAGACATGAACATAAGACTAAAATTAAAAGTTTTGCAGTAACGTAAGAAATAATTAGTTTACTGTATTTTAAGTATAAGTACCGTGAGCTAACTGATCATGTTTTAACTTCCATTCTCTTCTTCCTTCCTTAAGAAAGAGGCTGACTGTAGCTCACACTCTCAGTATATGAGAATTGTAGGTCACTTGGGGAATCCCTCTCATGTTTGCCAGCATACCCCTCACAACGAACTTCAAGACTTTTCTTCATTACAGTTGTGCTTCCGAAAATATGCTGCCAGTTTCACCACAGCCTAGTACTATGGTGAACTTCAGGCCACAGTTCCACACTATACACCTTTCAGTACCAAGCCAGTCAAGGACAGAACCCTTCAAACCCGAACTACCACACGGAACTGTGGCTTCACAGTGCAAGGTACAGCCTCGAGCTGTCCTCACCGACCAAGCGCTCTGGTGAGAACTCAAGATTCTCACAGAAATGTTTGTATCGAGACAGAAGACCGCCTCATCACCAAATATCCACTAAAAAAAGAACTGTGGAAATGGCGTTGAAAATAAAATTTGGAAGTTCAACTATGGCCTTATTATATACGTGAGGTTTTTTGTTTTGTTTTCTCAGATGAACATGTGGCAAACACTCCGGTGAAGCTACAGGACAACACACCTCCGTAAGCTAAAAGCAACAGTTCTGTAGGATCAAGGAACAGATGAGCATGGAGGGAAGTTTTCCATCCTTAGATCAAGAGACCTCCACAACAGACGCAGTAGGGCATCTTTTAGTGCAAAAGAGTAACAGACAGTTTTGAAGGCTGACAGCCAGCTCAAGCCCGATGTCTGCTTTATAAGAAAGCCTTACTTGCTGTTGTGGTTTAACCCCAGTTGGCAACCAAGCACCACACAGCCGCTCACTCACCCAGCAGGATGGGGGAGACAATTGGGAAAAAAAGTAAAACCCATGGGCTGAGATAAAGACAGTTGAATAGGAGAGCAGAGGAAGTAAAAAAAAATAAATAAAAATAAAAGAACATACAACACACAATGCAATTGCTCACCACCCCCTGATCGATGCCCAGCGTGTCCCTGAGCAGCAGTCACTGCCCCCCGGCCAGCTCCCCCCAGTTTCTGTACTGAGCATGACGCCATACGGTATGGAATGGCCCTCGGGCCAGCCTGGGCCAGCTCTCCTGGCTGTGCCCCCTCCCAGCTTCTCGTGCACCGGGCCAAGCATGCGAAGCTGACGAGTCCTTGACCAGTGTAAGCACTACGTAGCAACAACTAAACCATCAGTGTGTTAGCAACATTATTCTCCTCCTAAATCCAAACCACAGCACTACACCAGCTACTAGGAAGAAAATAACTCTATCCCAGCCAAAACCAGGACAGTATCCAGCCCTTATTCCATACCATCTATGTCACGCCCAGGTCCTACCCTTCCCAATACATTCCAATAATCACCACCACTTTTCCTGTCTTTTGATATATATACACACACAGATGATATTCCCTTAGGCTTATGGGCTATCCCTCTAAAATGTCCATTGAGTTCGTTCAATCCATGACTTTGGGCTCCATCTGTCGTAACAGGAGCGGTGGTGTGTGGTGTTGGACTGCTACATGCTGAAGCCAGTTCTGGTTCCACCACTGCTGCACTTTGCTCAGTTTCATCACAGTTCATTCTTCATTAATCTGGGCAATTCTCACTGTAATACTGTTGACATGGCATATAGCCACCACAGAAGTGGTGATACACAGTATTATGTAGCAATTAACATCATACAATTCACTTCATTGGCTATTTTCACCCAAAATGAAATCTCCTTGAGGTACACATTGGACTTTCCCATCCTTCCACATCACCCACCAAGTGCACGCAGGTCCTTGAGCAAAAGCAATCCCACGAATAGGTTTGCCTTTGCCCGAGTCCGTATTGAAGCTCCAGCATGTCTGGCACGGCAGCGCTCAGTGGTGGTGTGACTTCATGTTAGCCTCCACACTCCATCGGACTTCCGCACTGGTCGTATGGGACTGTTGAAGGGTGAGCAAGTCTTGCTGATCGCTCCTTGGCTCTCCAGTCAACAAATCAGCTTATGGATAGGAATCGGGGAGTCTCTGTTGGTGCAATATTGCCACTGGTGCACGGTTGTGGTAGCAATCAGTACCTGTTTTTCTTTGACCCTCAGCAACCCCACAACAGAAGGGTCCTCTGAGAGACTGGTCAAGGTGGACAGCTGTTTATTTCCTCCATCTCCAAGCCAGCTATACCAGAAGCCCACCAGTACCCTTTTGGGTCCTTAAAATACCCTCTCCTGAGGTAGTCTATGCCAAGGATGCACAGGGCCTCTGGGCCAGTCACAATGGGGTGCTTTTGCCACTCCTTCCCGGTTAGGCTCACTTCAGCCTCCAATACAGTCAGCTCTTGGGATCCCCCTGTCACTCCAGAAATACAGATGGGTTCTGCCCCTTCATAGCTTGATGGCATT